TCCCTCCAATCTCCCGCCCCCGCCGCCTCCGGCTTCGTAAAGCCGCCATTACGCACGCGGAATAACCGTCTCCCAACCGCCGCGCCAACCCCACGGCCTCGCAAGACGCGCTGCACCCCCAATACCGCCCCTCGCTGGGCCTTCGCCTCTTACCTCCTCCGTACCGCCCGTAGCGCGACATGATGACCGGCCCGCGAGCTCGGCTCGATCGCTCGCAGCGCCCAGGGAGCGAGTCACACAAAAGCAGCCAAACGCTACCACGCCAACGGTCCCAGCGGCACTACGAGGAAGAGCCTGGGTTCCGGCTTTTATACGCGGCGGCCGGGTGGCGCTGCGCATGCGCCCCCTCCGAGTTCTGCGCGGCACAAAGGAGCTGGGCGGAAACCCCGGCGGGCGGCGCGGAGGGAACCGGGGGATGAAACGCCAATCGCGGGCGGAGGGATACGTTTCCATGGGAACGTCAGAATCTCGCTAGTAAACCCTCGGCCGTCCCCGCCGTCCCGCCCCGTCCTTCCCTCCCCCTTTCTCTACCCTCCTCACTTTCCTCCCCTTCTCCCTCCCCCTTTCGTTTCCCCTTCTAGGGACCCTCGGCGCCAGGAGCCTCACCACAGGTGCCTTAGAGCCGCCTTCCGACCGGCCGTAAGATTTAACCGCTGATGTTGCCGCCGTCGCCGCCCTTCTGCTGGGGGAGCCCAGACTACTGCTCAGAGATCTTTGGGGCTCATCAGAGGTAATGGGGAGTTTGGCCAGGGTGAGAGCTTCATGAACCCCGCCATTCTGGGCAGCGGTCTCCGCATCAGAGGCCTCCACAGGGGTGAGACCCCCAGGGACCGCCGCCCTGCCCCGACCCCCAAACCCCTTAAGAACCAGCCACCAGTTTTCTGAGTTGTCTCCTTTTTCCCTTTCCTCTCTTTTTGTTTGTTTTGTTATGTTGAAATGGTGACAAACCCTAAATCCTTAAAGCATTTTGGTTAGTGGCAATTCTGAAATTATTTGCGTTTGAAGCACAATTGATTTTTTTTTGCTTTGGATTGTGGTAGCGCGTCTCGTCCACTAAACGCTCAGATCCGCAGGACTGGGGCTTAATTCTCTCTTTTTCCCCCCCGTTAATGTTTTAATTGATTTCAGAGAGAGAAAGGGACAGGGAGCGAGAGGTGGAAACATCGGTGAGAGAAACTTCGGCTCCCGCACGCGCCGCCTCTTGCACGCCCCCTGCTGGAGGTCGCGCTGCCGCCGGGGAATCGAGCAGACGGAGCTGGTGGTCGGTGCCCCGGACGTTGGTTGCTCTACCCGCTGAGCCACACGGGGGAGGGACAGGGGCCAGTCTTTTAGTGGAGCCTCTTGCTTCTTGACCACTCTATATGGAAACCTTTTCGTTAAGTTAGGATCACTTAAAATCCAGCTTTGACTTTACACATTGCATTTGTGAGACACCAACTCTACAAGTACAGATTTAACTTTTTTTTTTTACCATCCACCAAAAAAAGACATTACACCATAAATACTTGGGATACACAAGTTGGAAATACAGCATATAAAAGAGGAATTTCTTAGGGATTTGTACTTTTCTTTCATCTGCTGTATCTTTACTTGGTGTATATAGGTGTGGGATATAGAGTATAGGAGAAAGGAGGCCTAGTTGAATAAGCCTTTATTCGGGTGAATAAAATATGGATTCTCTCCAGGTAATGCTATGAATTTATACATATATATTTTTTCAGATTTATCAAATTATGGAAAGACCTAGTCTGTCTCAAGCAGATCTCTAGCAAGAAAATAGAAATTATGATACCGGACAAAATAGGTCGGTTACTGCCTGTCGCCACTAAGCCAATAAGCAGAGACAGGGTTGAATCTTTTATGATTGTTTATTTGAATTGCCAGCAATAGGAGAGAGCAGCAGGTATGGCACCTTGAAAAACTGCTCTAACATCTCCTGCCAGTTGGCTGATTGTGTAGGGGTCAGGAAGAAAAGCTACGTGCAGCGGGGACGGTATAGCAGGATAAGGGCTTCGGAGTTTGTCAGTGTGTCTGCTCCAAGATCTTAGAGTCTGATAACAGGGTAGTTAATCTTTTTGTGATAACAAAACAGCTTAGCCCATTCCAGGAACTGGAGAATGGACAACATTCCTGAGGTAAATTCCCAAAGGGGGCCAGTGTCTGGACACACCAATCAGGTCAGGTTCCACTTTCTTTGATCAAGACCAAACAGGCATGATTAATAGTATCTATGAATATTACTAGTGCCCCACCATTCCCTCCCCAGCACCTATCAGTTCTGTGTAGTCTGTTATATTTGTTCTCCATTAACCTTACTAATTTTTGTTGTCATCTACTTAACAGGCTTCTTCTCAAAAGGGTTAAACGATAAAGATATTTTTACATATTCCCTGAATGACAGAATACAGTATCAATTTTATAAAGCCTCGTTAACCCCACTTTCTCCTATTAAGAATTTATGAAATTGCAGTTGGACAAAACATAGATAACTTATTGAAAGATAGTACTTCTTAGTCAACTGCCATCCCACCCTGAATGCCTGAGATCTGGTCTGATCTCAGGAGTTAAGCAGGGTTGGGTCTAGTTAGTACTTGGATGGGAAAGATGATTTTTATTATGCTGCATAGCTCCTAATAGGCCTCAATAATTATTTTTTGGCTCTGAATACAGTCTATTGTACAAAAGAAAATTTGTAAGCAAATAATAATACTAACAATATGAAAAGAAGCAATTTTCCAACTTATAACAACCTCTTTCAAGCACATTACAGGAAAAGGGGTAAACCCTGACCGGCTTGCCTGCCTCTCTAGGAGACAGGCACTTTGATAAACTAATTACATATTATTTACCTCTATTAAAAGAGGGCCAAGTTTAGGCTGGGTTTTGCTAACATAGTTGCTATGAAAAAAATAATAGTACTGTAGTCCTGGCCGGTGTAGGTTCAGTTGGTTGAGAGCTGTCCTGTGCACCAAAGGGTCACCAGTTGGATTCCTGGTCAGGGCACATGCCCAGGTTGTGGGCTCCATCCCTGGGGTGCGTGTGGGAGACAGCTTATCTCTCACATCAATGTTTCTCTCTCTCTCCCCCTCTCCCTTCCTCTCTCTCTAAAATCAATCAAAACATTAAAAAAATAAATAAATCATAGTGCTATTTCTGTAAAGACTACTTTTGTTCCTGACAATTATTTTGAAATCAGTTGCACTTACATTTTTGCCCCTAGGATTCTGTGTTAAATTAAGATCACATTCTCAGATTCAATTTGAATGTGAAAGCTATTTAGTTCAACAAATATTCTAATATTTCCTAATATGAAGTATTAAGTAACTCAACACATTACTGTTGCTAAACATTGACAACATTACTTTTGGGAGAGGGATTTCTTTTTTTTTAATCCTCACCAGAGAATATTTTTCCCATTGCTTTTTCAGAGAGTGTGGAAAGGAGAGAGAGAGAAAAACAGTGATGTGAGAGAGACACATTGATTGGTTGCCTCCTGCATGAGCCTCGACTGGGGCTGGGGGCTGGGGATCGAGCCTGCAACCGAGGTATGTACCCTTGGCGGGAATTGAGCCTGGGACCCTTCAGTCCACTGACCAACACTCTTAACCACTGAGCAAAACTGGGTAGGGCTGGGGGGAATTTCTTAATCCTTTTACAGCAGCTTTCAAAATTCATCTGCATTTCCTAGATAAGTATTTTCAGGGAAGCATTAAAGAAAAAGTTCACTTTTTATCTTATTTTCTTCTCCATTTTAGTTTCACTTTTAAGTCATTGTCACCATTTTAGCTTGGATGTGAAAACCTTGAAACAAGAAAAACAAGTTTAGACCTTTTGCACATGTATTGATTTTTAATCTAATGAAACAGTCTGTAGTTACAAACACTAGTCTTCTAATGTGTATTTATGTATGTGCTGTGTATGTATGTACTGTATGTCGATCCAAACAGCTGTACTCAGCTACAACTTTCCCCCCCCCCAGTATTTCATAATCTTCTGTTTCTTCTAGAATGCTGTTAAGAATTCTGGGAAGGAAAAATCACTAGTGGCATATTTATAATTTTTTCATATTGTATAAAGAAATTGACTTCTCATTAGCCAAGTACTGGACCATAATCAGTACTGAGGGATGGGGTGGGGCAACAGTTAAAGAAAGCCAGTACTTTAACCAACTTCAAAGAGTGAAACTAGGATGAAGAAAAATGTGATGCAGGAGTGCCCTGCTAATACAAATATTACCAAAATGAGTCATTTTGTAAAAATCTAAGAAGAGTGAGGCTTTCTGAGGAAGGCCTGATTGTATTAAAAAGTGAGGAAACTGTAAAACCATCAAGCCTTAAACTAATCAATTATGTTGTTCCTTCTCTAAAATACTATTCATGAAAGGAACTTGGTCAACTTGGTGTCTTAACTAGAGGGCTGGACTTGTTTAGACTTTTTTTTTTTTAACGTCTTTATTGATTTCTGAGAGAGGAAGGGTGAGAGAGAGATAGAAACATCAGTGATGAGTCATTAATTGGCTGCCTCCTGCACACCCCCCCCCCCACTGGGGATCTGAGCCGGAAACCCAGGCATGTGCCCTGACCGAGAATCCAACCACAATCTCCTGGATCCTAGGTCAGTGCTCAACCTCTGAGCCACTGCCACCTGGGCAAAACTTGTTTAGACTTTAGAGTTTAGTAGTTTATCCAGTACTATCTTGGAAGAAGAAAACCTATGTTACTTAGTACTGCTCAAGACCACTGGTTTCCCTTTGATGTTTTGATATTCACTTTCTAGTCCCTGGAAATGAATATGTTCTATTGTAAATAAAAATGGGTTTAGTTCATAAATTCTTAGGAGAGGTGGTGCAGTGTACTAATTAAGAATGTAAGCACATGGAGTGTGATAGCAATGGGTTTGAAGCTTGGCTCCACCACCTAATAACTTTCTACCCTTGAGTTGTAGTGAGATATGTTTTATATTTTTAAAATGTGCCTATGAACCTACAACTATACTACCATTTTCCAGTGGGACACTGTTGGTATTTTAAAACAACAAAAATCCCACTTTATCCTAGAATTCTTTTCTCTGGTTACATACTATGGAAAGTTATTGTCTTTTTATGCACCAACACCCCTGGTCTCTTCCTCCTCCCATCCAATGCAGCAGGTTTAGGTTTCTCATACAAATAAGTGAATTACTACAAATATTGGAAGGCATCTTGATTTTTGGTAACCTCAGTTTTAAATGTCTTTGAATGAGATGCTAGTGAAGTCCAAGCTTTGTTTCCCATAGGAGCCTTCCAGCTTCAATGAAAGGAAAACTTTAATATCTACATGTATTTACTTGGGTACTAGGAGGAGAGTATAAATCAACACTCTTTACACTGCCTAATCTAGGATCATAGCAAAGATATGTTTACTCCCTTTCATCTTTTCTTCCTCAAGAGCTTCTATTATGCACTTAATTAATACCTTGCTGATTGGCTACTTCGAGCCAGAACTTGCCTGTGCGGCTGGCTACTTTGGTCAGCAGGGTATTTAAAATTATTTAAATTAATGTAAGTGCAGACACAGAAATGCGTGTATACTTGTGACTGGTCAGCAAGGTGTTTAATAGGAATGAGCTACTGCTTAAACATCAGGATAAAAAACAATATATGGATCTTGCCCTCAAGCCCACTAGGCTATAAACACATTAAGAATACACATAGCCCCAGCTGGTCTCGCTCAGTGGTTAGAGTGTCAGCCC